TCTTGTGTCCACGTTGCTTTTTCCTGGAGCTGGTGCTGGGCATGGTCGCCCCAGGTTACTCAGGGAGGTGAGGGGTTTCACCCCAGGGTTGGTACCTCTAAGTGACCTGGGGATATTTTCAATAAGATCCTTGAAAGGCAACTGGGAAGAGCCCAACCACTGCTTTTTGCTTTGAAATCACTGCCCAGTGCCTTGTGGTTCTGGCTGAAAATCAGCTGAAAACCATCAACACCCGTATCCCACTTGTGCAGCTTGAGGAATTTTCCCTTCTCCCCCTCATCGGCTTTTCTGTAAATAAAAATGAGCTTTATTGATTTTATTTCAGTAACGGAGAAATAATTTGCCTACAGCCTGAGCTCTCAGGGTGTTAAACTCCATCCAGGAGTGTGGTTTTGAGGTTTTTTTCCCTCCTTTTATAGCGTTTCTGATCTGTGTTTATGATGCCAGCACTGACACATTCTAAACTACAGCGTGGCTATAACCTCCGGAAAAACTCCCGGCGGGATTGAAATAGTGGTTGGCAAATGTTCCCTCCTCACTGGAGCTTGTGAATCAAAAACCATCAATGGTTTAAGCAAAGGTTTGTGCCAGGAAGGGAGAACTTATGCCGGAGTCGATGCATATTTGATTACCGCACTTATTCACTCGCAGCCCTTCTCCCTTCGAATCCAGCGTGGGTTTTAATTAAACACTCATTGGCGAGGCTGTTATTCTCCTTTGGAAAGTCTCCAAATGTCCGTGTTTTTTCCCCAAAATGATCACAAGGGGATGTGCTCCCATCCCCCTCATCCTCGGCGAGGTTTGTCTTCTGCAAGTACTGCTAATTACGTTAGTCTGGCCGACCGCCGGCTCTGTGATAGCATCTTTCATTAGCACTGACCTCTCCCTGCTCACAAGGAGCTGGCTGATGTTCCTGGAGTGGGGCCTTGTGGATGTCACCAAGAAATGGCCCTTTGGCACCCTACAAGCAGGTCTGGGTCTTGCAAGTGATAGCATTGTGTTGAGCTCTGGTTTGTTAGCATCTGATTGCAAACGAGGTTACGAAGCTTGGGTGTAGCTCCCCATCTACACAAATGGATTGTCCCTGGTTGCAAACCAAAGCTGAGAAAGGCTGAGGTTGGTACCTCCAGGATCTGCTCTACCAAAGGGCTTCTGATGGCTGTGCTTGGGTGTCCAGCTTGGATTGGGTGCAGAAGGGGTGAAGAAATGAATGGGAGAGGACAGGACATCTCTTCTTGGCTTTAAACATCTTATGGAGGCTCTCCTGCTGGCAACGCAACCCATAGCAGCGTAGATGTTGCTGCAGACAACTCTCTATAGGGTTTAGGAGATACCACAGTTGGAGGTTGAGAGGTCTCACCTCCCTTACCAGCTTCTAGAGATGCTGCAATGGGTTTTTCCCTTCCCCTGGCTTTAAATTCCCACCTGGCTCCTCAACCACTGACACGAGTTTGCTCCTGCTTGTCAGGAACAAGACACTTAATTTGTCAGTTTGCTACGCTCAATATTTCTTTCATGTTTTACGTCAATTTTAAATGCAAAACATGTCTGGATAAATTCACTTTTTTTGCCTTTTTTTCTTTCCACCTTTACTGTAGCAGACACATTGAAGGTAGCTGTGTTTAATAAAAAAAAAGAAGATTTTAAAATGCTGGTTTTGCACTTCTTTAATTGACTTCCAATTTCCATTCATATGCAGCCTGGCATCTCTCAAAGAGGGGTGGGGGGGAAAAGAGCACTGAGCAAATAAGAAATGCGTCACTCAACTGGTTTTTTAACCATAATCAAAAATGTAAAAATTAAGAATGTGAATCAATGTACATTAAACTATGTAATTGCTTAAATAAACGTGGCGGGGGTAGATAATGGGTCTTCCTGATTAGAAGAAAATATCAAATTTAGTGCAAAGGTTATATTTGGTTGGGAAGCAGCATGATTTAATGGTTGCACTCTTCTTTTTTGGGGGTAAACCAGGCAGGGAGGGCTCAGAGGGCAGCTGGTGGAAGGATGAAGGAGCTGAGAGTATCTTTGGTGGCACCTTTGAGGGAATCACAGGGATGGAAGAATTGCTGGTGGATGGTGGAAATTGGTTTTCCCAGCTCTCATGAGCCTGGTGGTGGTTGTGTTTTCTCTTCCAGCACCTGGTCCTGGTGGTCCTTGACCCAGAGAAGGTCCTGGCTTGCAGTGACCGGTCTTGCAGCAAGGGAAGAGGCTCCCAAGAGCAGGACCCTCCAGGTAAAGCCCCAGCCCAGCTGGGTTTATTGTGATCTCTCAGTATTTCTCACTACTTGAACTTGCTTGGGGTGGTTTGTAGCTCTATGGGGCACACTGTGGAGTTTTATTAGGGTGCACCTTGTGCCTCCCA